TGCACAACTTTCTGCTTACTGCAAGTGAATCCTGAACTGAGGAAAGACAGCACAGCAGCGTTTGCATTCACTCGTGCGTAACAACTGCACTGGAAAAGTCCAGCCCCTGAACAATGCTTCTAAGTCACTGCCTGCAATGTAAAATAAAAAAATCATTACAATTTACTGGGGATCCAATGAGTCTCTGCTACATCTGCTCATGATAACATTTGTGTTTTATTATTGTTCTTGCACTTAATTTCCCAATCTAATATTTTGCCTGTGGTTGAAAAGGTAATAATTATATTTATGTCATTATATCATTTAACTTAAAGTAGACCTACTAAGCTCATTATATTTTCTTATACTGGGCCTTGGTACAGCCAGCTATCTGAAGGGCTGCGTTTTCAATCATTTTCACTCCAGTACATAAGTCCGACCATTTTCTAACCAGTGCTTTAAATGTCACAAAGACTACTTAAAAGTAATGACAAGAAAGCTTTCCCGAGAGTGTTCTGGGTTTGTTGATGAATAAACGTGATCAGTCTAAATATTGACTTCGTTAGTTCGTTAGAATTGCACAAACCCTGTTTCTGCCTTATATACTGTATCTTCATTTACATGAGTACATGTTTTAATAAATCACTGCATCTATTTAATGTTTTTTTCCTAGCAAAATATGAATCAGGGGTTGTCAGGATTTTTGCACAGTACTGTATATAAGATAGCATGTTACTATTATTATAAAAGATTATATCTGAACACATAGTGGCTTTGAGGAAGGTTATTTTTTCTTTCTGCTGTTCTAGGTGAAAGTAGTCCTTGTTGGGATGAACTGATAAATAGATTGAGAAAGTTGCTGACATTACATGTTGTGTTTACATTTGTTCAGATCAGATTCCATTGTAATACAGCACAACTACAGCTGGTTAAAAAAAAAAAAAGCACCAAGAAGGGGGCTGGAAAAAGAGTCTTGTAGGTGTAGCCCACTCTATCATCTGTGTAAGTAATCGTTTACTGACTGCAGCATTAGGCAGCACTAAGCCCTGGGATTCAATTTTGTTCACAGCAATTGGGTTGCCTGAAAGCATGACTACTTAACCCCTGTGCACTGTGAGGAAACGGACAATGAACTTGTAGTGTGAGGGATGAACTAAGAGCAACACCAGCCCCTGGCAAATCTCCTGAACGACAAAGCTCCAACCACTTATATTAAAGAAACCTGACAACTTGTAAAACATTATTCTTTACTTCTTTCTTGTTTTACACAGGCTAATTTCAGCAGGTCTTTATAGGTTGTTTCACTTGCTGTTTACTGCGACTGAAATCCAGTCTTTATTATTTCTGTCTCAGACGCTCCAAAACTGTCCCAGTTTCCATAAATAATTATTCCCATGAGATCTGCAAGAGCCGTGGGTTCACGATCCCTTTCCAAGGCAGAGGGAGGCCATATGTGGTTTGTCTCCTGTCACATCATGTGCAACAGATTCTCTAGTCCACCCCCAAACCTTCTTCCTGAAAGCATGCATTTAAAACAAAATGCAAATAAAGAGAAGCATTTCTTTAAGATTAAATGTGAGTTTCAAAACTGGTTTCAAGCTGAAAGTCCTTTATCATTTTGAATCATAATAATCGCTGTTGTTTCCACAGGCTAGACCCTTTAAATAGAGCTTTCTCACTTCTATATTAGCTCATACAGATATTCCAAATCAGAAATAAAGTGTAACATTTTCCATACTGAAGCTGTAGAGACAGCATTAGACTGTCTGCAGGCAATGCAGCTCAACCAATCAGACATGCCTACTCAGCTATATGACACAGCAGGTTGGTAATGTGGTGAAAGTATCAGCTTACAGGACTGTAAGCTCACAAAATAATTAGTTCCAAATGTCAAGAACTTCAATGAAACCTCGAATAATAACTCCAGCCACATGCCAGATTCACATAAACCCCCCTAATTTAACAGTAAAGCTACTGTATGGTGTTTTTATCTTTTACAGTTTCTTCTTGGAGATGTTTGGGAGGTATCTGAAGTATGACGTAGTTGCGCTGTTGTTTATATTTGTGCACCGAGGGCTCAGACTGCATGTGTTCGACAGGAAGGGTCGCTATGCTGTGTGTGTGTGTGTGTGTGTGTGTGTGTGTGTGTGTGTGTGTGTGTGTGTGTGTGTGTGTGAGCTCAACACATACTGTACAACAAACAGAAGCAGCTTAAAGGAGGGGGGAAAAGTTGAACGAAGCCTGTAAACATCCTGTTGTTGCTATGTGCAACTCCCATTCTGTCACACTTGTATACAGGACTACTCACCTTCACGTTTCGGATCTTCACAAACTTATCCTCCACCCGAACAGCTAGCCTTCCTCCATCTGCGCTCTCCCTGTGAGTAAGAAAAGAAAAAAAAAGTATGCTTATTATTATTATTATTATTATTATTATTAGGTGTGGGTAACAACTGAGAAGGTTGATGCTTCCACTAGAGAGAAATGGCCCTACGGGATGCTATCAGTACTGACCAGGATCTCACACCTCAAATGCAAACCAGACAGAGCTTTAAGAACATTTTCACTCTAAATTCAGAAGCTGTATAATCATCCTATACACTGTTTCAAATCGGTTTTAAAAATCCTCTTTTGCTGCAGCTGATATAATTCAGAGAGTGTCGAGATAAATTTACGCTGGCTCCACTCGCCTTGAGGCCATCACATGACAATTAACACAATGAATTGTGTGTGTGTGCGCATGTGATCCATGAAATTGCAACACAAGTGCACCACTGACCAGTCCCAGATTCAAATGAAAACAGACCCCGACATGCTCCGCAAAAACTTTGTCTGAGATGCAGCTGGAGCCGTTTCCACAAAGTCCAGAGAGCACACAAGGGTTCTGTGAGCGTAATCAAGACCACTGTGTCATCCGTTGTGTGCGCTGTATGTGTATGTGTGTGCTTCAGCAGCTGGACCAAGCAAATCTGATGCAACACAAGCAAAACTGAAGGCAATCACAATACGAAGCTGAGAGGATTTCGATCTCCAGGAGTGATAATGATGGCAAATGCTGCCTGCAGTGGCATCTAGCTCCATCTCTGTGGTGGGCTAGGGACACACGAGGCGGCTGTTGTAAATCATCCCCCTGTGCTTCACCACGTGGGACTCATTTTGCCAACCCCAGCAGCGGCCCAACCCAAAACCACCAACCTTCAATCTCAGGCTCTAAACAGCGTGTACATGAGGTGGTTGGGGACTGGGAAACAGTAAACCTTGCACAAAAACGTGTTTTGAAACAAACTTAAGATGAGCTCAGATAGGCTGACATGTTTTGTTTTGTTTGTTTGTTTGCATATGTGAGCTGTTGCCCACATTGTCAGGGGCACCTACTGAATCCTGCCGGTCAACTAAAACAGAAGAGCAACACGCTCAAATGCAAGGTCGAATGAAGAATGCAGACCTGGCTGGTGTAAATGTTATCTCTGTTCCACAGCAGGTCCTTATTCAAATATATAGAGGAAGGAAATACATCCTTCAAAGCGATGAGCAAAATGAGGGTGTCAGAATCCCAAATCAGGAAGGACAGATTTGCATGACAGTGAACATTTAATATAAGAAATTCTTTTGTTATGTAAAACACCAGGAAGACCAGCTGAAAGAATCATTGTCCAGCCTTTCATAGCCTGAATAATGCTTTGTTAGGGTACTGTAGTGGCCTCTGAGGTTAAGCAACCCAGCCAGAGTTCAAAATAATTAAATATACTACCATGGAACTTGTCTGAAGTGTTTCTCCAGACCCCCTCAAAATAACAAACTGCATTTAACATACTGTAGCAATTTCCTGTTGATGTAAATGGCAGCTTTTAAAACCTCCTGGCGTGTTTTTGGTAGTTCCAGCAGATTTCATAGCGCTATAAAATGTAACAAAATCTTCCCACCTAAACATAAAGCGGAAAATTAAACCAAACCAACGTGTTCATTCCAACTTTCCTGCCTTGTTTAAGGTAACAAATGCCTTAAAAAAATATGCATCACATTTCCATGTGATCAAAGTGAAAAAGGTTTTTGTATGGAATATGCATAACACTGTCAGACATAATGGAATATAATGACTTATATGATTGTAGCTAAAAGCCACGAAACGAGGCTTTAAGCAGGGGTCAGTCAGAAATGTAATTCATTCACTTCCTGCCTGAATTTAGACATATTTCCTGCATTTTTCTACTACTACTACTCAGCTCTACACAGGCTGATTTAGTAGGCAGCACCCCTGACAGCCACAGTTGTCATCATTCAACATGTGCACCACTCACTTAAACCACGGCATTGTACTGAGCTAGCTAACGAGCTAGTTTAACGCTCGATTTCGATTTAAAGCAGCAAAACGGACAAAATAGAAGCAAAAGAGGGCAACATACGAAGTATAACGCCTTGTTGAACACACCAAGAAGCAGGCAACATTGCATGGTTTTAAATACTGGTAGCAGCACTCGAGACACAAAGAAGCAATAACACAACAATAATAAACTATTAAATTATGTTGTATTAGCTGGATAAGCTAACTCGGGAACTTACCTCGCGTTGAGAGGTCGGACTCGAATCGCAACTTTTACGTTTGCCATGATGTGTGTTGTTGTTTTGAGGGGTTTTACACGCAACTCAGCAGCTGTCCAAGTCGGACTTGGTGTAAAATAACGGTTTTAATGTGAGCATGGTGAACATCGCTTCATATTTCTCCAATACAGTGGGGCAAAGTTGTCCGGTAAGCCCCCCCCCCCCGCTCTTGTTCAAGCCATCTCCCGACTTCTGATCGAGAATCCGAACGTCTCCAAAAGTCTCAGCAGAGAAGTGAAACTTCCTGCAGGGCAGACATGGAAGGAGAGGGAGGGGATGCTGCTGGATACTCCTCCCTTTTAGCCACATTCAAATCCTTTTTTTTTTTTGCATGTCTGTTATTATTTAAATTTCTCTACATTTCAAAAGGTCTTTAAATTGAGTTTCACATTGATTAAAAACACCCTCCAAAAATCTGCAGATTATTCAAGCTGATAAACTTTATTTTCTTTTTCATTACGAAATTGTATGTTACTCATTGCAAACATGACAATACACAATAAGCACTTAAATCTGAATACATCGTTGTCATTTAGAATTTAAACTATGCGGCAACATTAAAAAGAATATCAGTTTAAAAGCAGCAGGGAGTAGGGCGCTTGTTCAACATGAACAAAAACATGATCACAAATGCTTGCATTTATGAAAGAAACGCAGTCACTAGTGAAGCGGTCAACAGCAGAGTGAAAGTGCTATACTGAAATGAAGACAACAATGTGTCTTACACAAACGTGACTTTTCTAATTTTGAAACTTGTAGTATTTGTTATAGATTTTACGTGATAAATATTAATTACGCAATTTTTTTTTTTTTTAAATGCAAAAATTCCCCATTTCATTGCCCAGTCTTCTTCAGTCTTAAGTGTGAATCTACTATGACTCCAAACTATGCATCGTCTCGATCTTTTGTTTATTGTTTGCCTAAAGACACAAGCATCAATCCAGGTTTGCCTGCAGGAAATTCCTTTGGATCTAAGATGAGATTGTGTGGTCCATAGATGCTACCCCTGACTGACGGGGTTTTCTGGTTCTACTTGGCACCTTAGTTCTCGGTTTGCAGCTACAGAACCTAAGCCTGAGGCTTGCAAAAGCTGACTGTTGACTCTCTTTGACGGTCTGTGAAGCAGAAAGCTAGTCAGCAAAAAGAAGTCACTCAGAACTGTGTACCTCTTGAACAACACAAGCAGATGTTACATTAAACACTGTGGCGAAAACACAATTGCGGCGGGGAAACTGGATAGTACTATTGCTGTCATGTAGCTCCCTCTACTGTCTGATGTGAGACCTGCAGAATGTCCATGTGGCTTTGTAACTCAGCCAGAGGTGAGACGGGTTTCACGGTCTTTAACTTCAGCTGAAAATTCGCTATCTGCTCCTAAAGAGAAAAAAAAATGACAAGAAAATTAGAACAAGAGAGCAGAAAAAGCCAGAGGTCAGATCATTAGTATTAAGAAATAATTCCAAAGCTATACAAGATGACAAGAAAATGAAGCTTCACCACAGGTAAGGCCAGTTCTGTTAGCTTCTTCCAATGGGATTTGACCTCTTCTTCACTCAATAACCCTCTGTCCACCAGTCTTCCAATTACAAACCGGTAGTTCTTCCTCTAAAAAACACAACAACAAAAATAATAAAAACATTTGCAGAAAATTAGAGATTTCAGTGTCAAATGACTTTAAATTAAATAATTAGAGGTTATAGAAAAAGGTTACATTTTTAAATATGTATATAAATAAAACTGTTTAAGGAACACTGGGCCTGACAGAACTGAACAAAAATAAAAAAATAAAAAAAAAGAAGAAAAGAGGAAGAATTCAAAATGATGGAGAATGCTGGAGGCCAAATCTTTCAATTCAAGACAGGGACCGTTTCACATGTCATTCCCCTCGGCCTTGTTTCCAGTCTGTTTACTCTAGAAAGCAGACAGACTGGAAAGCAGGAGGAGTATTAAAATCCACTGGAGAAGCAGTGAAAATAAGTCAAAGAAGAAGAATCCAGGAAGGAAATAAATAAATAAATAAAGTCTCCATCCAGTATAAACATGCTATAAGTGTTTAGGCGAGTAGGTTTGAACAATTTATAGTAAAGAAACTTTCAAGAAAAGAAACATCAACAGAACTGTTCCATTTTGCCGACACTGTTCAGTCTTGTAGATTTTTAACACATTGAAATTGAAAAGGAAAAAAAAATAAAACAATGTGTGTTGCACACCTCAATCTATAATGTTTTTTTTAGGATCTATCCAAGGACATGTATAACAAGTTTGATATATGTTCAATTTGACTGTCATATTATGATCATTAATACATCTATATCATTCATACCTCTGTGTCGCTGGCCTTCAGCACAGCGGTGACTGTAAGTGGGGTAAAGAGCAGGTGGATGGGGGCGGAGGAACAGCTGTCTTTCTCCCACAGCTCAGCGAGCTGCTCCAGCAGCGCTGTGACAGGAGGCTCTGACCCTGAACCATTACCAACAGCATCCCCGCCACGTCCGCTGCACTCTGACAGAGGCAGCACCGGGAGCTCTGCCGACACTGAACAGATACACAGAACACATTCTCAGGTCTGTCAAGGACGTTTCATAATGTTTGCATTTAAGAAGCAGAGCAATTTTGAATGATGAGAGTTAAACACTTAAAATCTCACCCAGTTTGCAGGCCAGTAGGACACTACAGTTCAGAAGCATCTGCTCTGACAGTACATTCAAAAACTAAGCAAGAAAAAAGAAGGAAGACTGTAATTAACACTGGGAAACGACTCATCAGTAAATTCGGTGTAATTTTATGACACTCGTCTCTCTCTGACGCACCTTTCTGCAGGATAATGTTTCTCCCACTTTTTGCAGCAGTGTTAGGAGCTGAGAGCCAGTCGGCAGCTCCTTATCCGTCCTCGGGCCAACAGCGATGCTCAGCAGTTCCTACATTAAAAATTAAACCCTTTGAGTTCAGACATATGGTTGACTTTTACATATTTAAGATCTTATTTATTACATGGACTTTCTAACATTCTGGTGAGGCACACTCATGATTTAACAGTAAACTGTGTGACATAGTGGGGGGGAAAAAAGAGAAAAGAATCACAAATGAAATGTTGTTATTACAAAGCACTGCTGAACAAAGTACTAACACAAAAAAAATAAATAAAAATACCTTCATTTCAACGATGATGTCAGAGGGCAGTGAAGCACTGTGGTCACAGTGGGGAGGACAGGACACCACTCTCTCACTTCCTTGTTTCCTCTTGGGAGTTTGTGACTTTTCCTGAGGGACCAGCTCAGCCACAGTTCTGTCCACATCAGAGTCTGGAGCAGGTGGACTACCAAGAGCCTTCATCACGCGGTCATACCTGCTCTTCCACTCCCGTCTTACGAGTGCTTTATAAGAGAGAATTATAATGAGAAATTAATGGAAATTAGATATCCTGAGAGTGCTTCTCTCATCTACAATGGAAATTATGTTCTTAAAATAATACCGGCATCACAGAGAGTTTGAGGTCAGTTCAATGTTTTTGTACGCTTTAGTCTGGAGGCTTAGTTAGTAGTAAAACAGGCCTAAGTCGAGCACAAAAAGCTTGCAAAACTACTGCCCTGCCATAAAATTCAGCCTTTCATTCATTTACATTCATTCACCAGATCAAAGCAATCAATGCATTCATGTTCCAGTGGGGACTTCCCAAAACTGTTTTTAAAAAGTTAAACAAAAACACAAAGACTTGCAAATCTTATAAACCGAAATTTTATTCAAAATAAAACATTTGAAAAAGAAAAATGGAAGAAATTGTTTGAATTTGTAAAAATGTATCATTTAAGAAAAAAAAAAAAAAAAAAGTCATTTGAATTGGGTGGCAGGCCTAAGTCTCCAAAAAAAGTTTGGATAGGGCCACGTAATCACTGTGCATCATATTTTAAAAACAGTTCATCAACCCCATCTCCTACCTGGGACTGATGTACCTGTATGTACTTTTCAGCACTGATGGTGCCTTTCCAGCTGTGCAAGCTGCAAAATCCATGGACACTAATGCACCCCCATAACCAACAGAGATCCAGCCTTTGGAACTGAGCACTAATGACAAACTGGATGCTCCCTCGCTTCTCCTCATTGCAATTTTAATCCATCTGACCACACAACAGTTTTCCACTTTGCCTCAGTCCATTTTAAATTAGCTTTGGCTCAGAGAAGACAAAATGTTCTCTGGATTATATTCACATATGGCTTCTTCGAGAAGGCTTGCTCGAGGTCCACCTGTCTGTAAACAATTCCCCACGTAATGTTTTCTGGAACTCTTCCTAAACTCAAGAATCATACCGGTTTTAAATGCAGTGCTGTCTGAGGGTCCAAAGGTCAATCTCAGTTAACCTATTAGGTTGAAAGATTTTCTTCCAGGCGTGTCCTTTTCAATACCACTCACTTTCCCAGCCTTTTGCTCCCTGCGCCCCAGCTGCCATACCCCCATGTTGCCGCCATCAAATTAAACACAAGTGTATAAATGCCTCTAGGGATGGGTACGAAAACCAGTTCTTGTTGAGAACCGGTTCCCATTGTTTCAATTCCTTGGAGTTGTTTGCCATTTTTGCAAACGATTCCCTTATCGATTCTAGTCGCCCCGAATTACGTCACCACGTTGCGGAACGTTTTGCAACTTCGTTGGCCGAAGTTGCAAAACTGGCAGGAAACACGGCGCCCAAGCGGCTCAAACGCTGAAAAGTTTGGTCACACTTTACGAGAACGGATGACAACAGGGCAACTTGCAATACTTGCAAAGTAGATATTTCAATTAAGGGAGGAAACACTACGAATATGCAAAAGCATTTGCTCACAAAACACACGATGACCTTAAATGAATGTCGTGTTTTTAATTCCGCTCCGGACTCGTGAATCTCAACCCAGCAGCAGCGGTAACGTTTGCACGTCCTCTCCCGTTAATGCGGCAGGTAAATA